GAGAACATACTTGACTGGTGAATGCCAGCATGAAAAAGACCTTGATCTCCTTGAGCTTCCTTCAAAGAGCATCCTCTAACTACTTACTTAGTCCAGCATCATAATGGTGCTTTTCCTATAGCTTGCAGTGGTGGTTAAAATACCAAGCAAAATGTATTTACATATATTGACTCAACGATAGATTTACTGTTGCAAGATCTGGGCGTTTTATGATACAGTCTTAACTACTCACCAGTGACGAACCACCAAACGGTACATTTTGCTTTACCATGCTTTGGTAACGTGAAAATGTGATAATTCTTCTCAAATCAACTTATGAAATAACAAAGGATGCATCATACAGTATAACAGCATTTGTTCTTCATAATCACATCAACTGTAACTAAAAATATCTTCTAGAGGTGATTTCATAGTTCTTTTTCTTATTTCCTATTTGTCTTAAGGGTAGTACAGATTTCCAGGTGTTTGGGAAAGGTGCTGATTGATTCCTGTGTCACATGTCCTCAGTTGATTCAATAAATAAAGCTTAAGTTATCATTCTCTCCCTCCACCCTGTTATATTGGATTATAATATTGTCATTTTGTCCCATCTTATCATATGGTTTTATGTAATTGGATGTAATTCTATTCTTTTTATTCCTTGGCGTTTCGAGTGGAACATAAGGCTTCAAGCTAGAACTTTGAAGTTTCAGTAGCAGTAGTGTTTATTTTTGCGGGGTGGAATTTCTAGTCCCGCACCCAACCTTTCCTCTTCAGTGGGTTTATTAATGGCTAAGAGAGGTTTCAGGAGTGCGTCAGACGAGAATCGCACTCCGGACAACATGAGTGGTTGGCGAGTGTAATGCTATAGCTAAGCTTTTTTATAACTTCCTTATTTTAATAGATGACCACCTAATCTATATTTCACTAGGAAGAGATTGATAACTTAACCTTTATTTATTGAATCAACTGAGAACATGTGCCATGGGAATCAATCAACACCTTTCCCAGATATCTGGAAAATTGTACTGCCATCAAGACAAATTGGAAATGAATGAAATACTCCCATGTTGAGTCATAAGAAAAAGGCGTAAACAGCGTGGAAAATTTTCTTTTCCACGACTCATTTTCATAAGCTGTACAATCGTAATTTTTATATCTAACTAAGAATTCATAAAACCAATCAGATACTGGCAAAATTCGTCCTCAAAAAACGCATTACGTATTGTAGGGTGTAACCTAGAAGGGGTAACTAATTGAAAGTTAGAGAAGAGGCAGAAGTTGGTATGAAGTAATAAGTATGAGAAAATGACTAATCAGTATGATTGTGTAGAGTGGACAGGAACTAGTGGAAAGGCGATAATGTGTTTGCATAAAATCTGTATGAAAACGCAATCTTATTAATAAACAGTAGTAGTGATAATAAAATATGGATGATAAGAATAATAATGATAATAGCATAACAATATCAATATTAAAAGTACCCTTACATAAAAAAGAAGCAAAATTATAGTGAGAACGTTACTCTGGCCACGGTAGGGAGAGTGAATGTATGTAGTGCTTTTAAATGCAGAGGTACGGTTTCAGATCCCGAATAGCCAATGATTCAGCTATGTACAGATAGCGTATTCGAAGTCCTTCTGTGTGATATTGAGGGACTCTGTATAGCACTGTGAAGCATTCATGCAATTGGGGGTGCTCGATGTCCAGAGTTGACAAGGTGTTCGAGGATGGAGCTTCTAGTATTCTTCTTTTCTCCTCTGGCTAGCTAGCCAAGCTGGACAGTGTTCCAGAATACGTTTGTAGACTTGACGTTGCGTATGGCAGATCTACTTTGCCCCACACGAGCAAGTGAACTGATAAATACACAGTGAGGTGGCCTTAACGTTAGACTGCATAAATTGTCTGCCGGAGAATATGATACGTAAGGTGGCTGCTAGAAATGTCTTCTTGGTCTTATGAATTCCTTGTTAAATATAATAATTACGATTGTACAGCTTATGAAAATGAAAATTTTCTTCGCTGTTTACGTCTTTTTCTAATGACAAATTGGAAAGAAAAAAATGAACTACAAGATCAGGTTTTGAAGTTTTTTTATTCACAATTGGTGTGACTGTTAAGGATGAATTCTGTTCACAGCGTCATCCAGTAAGTAATACTGTTTCACAATGCGATATATGCACAAAAGAAAACTTGGGAGTACTGGACAGCTGTTTCATCAGCCTAGTTTGAACTTTGAGGACAGTCACTCATCGAAGAAGACATTGTGAAGTGGTCACGCTATGCCATAAATTGCCAGAAGTTGAAATTCATGGGCTGGTCATTGGATAGCATCCCAGTGTCTTAATGATCTATGAGCTCGGGCACTGTGGTAGAGCATAACTCCATTATGGATAAGATTTTATTTTGATAAGATTATGATTATGAGCAATAGTTTATGCTCGAAACGTCATCAGTTAATATTACTGTACAACACTGTGTGATTTATCAAAATAAAATCTTATCCATAATGGATCTACGAGCTCGCCTAGTAACCAGATGGTCCAGTGTTCGAACTCCGTTGGTAGGTGCATAATGATGAAGAGTCCAGTACTCCCTGTAGGTTTTCCAATGGTTTTCTAACTGATATCAGCTCATGATGAAATCCTACAACCAATCAAACAAAATCCCTACAAACCAATACTTGAAAATACAGCCAATAAACAAATAATTATGGTAATTTGAAAATTCCCATTCAGTCATAGAAAAGGAAAGGCGTTCAGCAAAGAGTTACTCTTTTCGGCGATATCATTCTCAAGCTGTACAAACCGCAAATTTATAGTAATTTTTCTTGGCAACAAAAGGAGTATTTCCAAAGATGTGTTAATGCAATTGCTAATTTTTGACAATTAGGGGACTACATACACTTTCTTCATTCCTTTAAGTTCCAGTGGAACATATGGCTTCAAGCTAGAGCTCTGAATTTTCGGTAGCAGTGGTGTTTATTTTTACGGGATGGGGTAGCTAGCCTCATGACCAACCTTCCTTCTTTACCAGTCTTATTCCTCGCTTAGAGAGGTAAAGGAGTGCGTCGGTGGCCGGGGATCGAACCCCGAACCACCTGCGTGGTTGACGACCATTCTACCACTGTGCCACCGACGCACACATACACTATCACAGTGCCCAAATTTTATACAATACATTATTAATGAAATAATGGGAGGTTACTTAGTTTAGGTAATAGACAGCTACACATGAATACAATTCATATTGTATAATCTTTCACGTTAGACCTGGCAAAAAAGGCATCTGAAATAAAGAACTACATAAACGTAATAATTTTCAAAAATACTCTTTAAAGTTAGAAAATATAGTTCACATGGAAACCACTTAGCAAAAAAAAGCAAAACAAGTTTGTGGCTTGTTTATTTTTTTTCACATTTTTCACTTGACATGAATTTCATTCAAAATGAATGTTTCAAATTACACAAGTTGATTTATTATTTTGTTTTGTTGTTTTATTTATTTTTGGAGAATTTATTCCATAATTTAAAGATTAACTTAATAAGGAAATGAAAATGAGAATTAAGTTTTTATTTTCTTTCTGTGTATAATAAAACAACAATAATTGACCAATCTAGTGAAGAATTTCTAAGTGATCAACTTTCGGTTCTTTACAAAAAAATATCTATAGAGAGGGAGAGAGAGACGTATTCAAATTACTTTTGATGTGAATTTTAATATGCGCATTCTAGAAAATTGATAATCATATTGTTAGTTGTTTTTTGGTTTTTTTGGAGAAGGAAACCATTTGAATATTCTATCAGTTTCATGTGATTTATTTCTGTTTAATTTTTCATATTTGTACGCTCTGGTTGAACATTTCTGAAGGATAATTAACTAGATTAGAAGTAGGAGACTTAAAGAGAAGACAGACAGTGATGAAGCTACTCAACCAGTGACAACAAGAAGCATCAGTTACTATCGTCAAGAGACATCTAAACGAAGCTGTTTCTTATAGTCACCTACCTAGGAAGCATCATTACAAATACAAGTGTTAGCATATATGAAGAATAAGAAGGGAAGACAGGCATCTTTCATTCTGAAATTAGTTTGGAGATCTATGACGTTCAGTACAAAGAATAAGATCTTAATTTCTAGAGCTAAAGTAAAGTCATGTAGTGCTCCCATACGACTGAAAGACTTGGTATACTTGTCACCTAATGGACTACTGACAGGTAGTCTCAGACTTTTATCGACAGCTACCCTTGCGAGCTTGATACTGAAGATGAGATTGCCGGGAAAAATAGGACGAAGCAAGAAGAAACTTTGGCGGGCATGTGGACTTGCGAAAGAACCAAGAACCTATTGCTCAACAAGTTATGCAGGAGAAAACTAAAATGGATTAGACAAACTCTTAATGACATCACACGATAAGTAGGCCTTCCAGTGGAACCCGAGTGGAAAGCTATGAGCTGGATGTGAATGTGAGTTTGACATGAAGCCGATCATATGAGGAGGGAATGAGATGACTGTAGAGAGTCCAGTGGAATGGGTATGCAGTTTTGAAGCCATATGCTCCACCCGGAATGTAGAGAACGAGCAACAGTGATAATAATGCGACCAAATTTTGAAGCACCCTGTCTGTCGTCGGTCAAACTACCGATGAAATCGTAACATATCTATTCGAAGAGAAAAAATATAGTGTAGTAATAATGAGCTTCTTGTAGGTAGGGAAGACTAAAAATGATAAAATTATAGAAAAAATGAAATTTGACAAGTAGACGCAATATCGATTAGTGTAGATGTATTTAAAGGACGGTAAGGTGGTAGGGCTTTTTTCAATTTTCACCAATCATTTTCCTTTCTCGAAAGAGGACAGATTTGAAAGACACTAATACCATCCATCACCTTGCATACAGCTTTAAAATCTTTTATATTTAGCATATTGAATATTGATTTTCAATGAGAAGGTATGAAGTTACTAATACAGAAATAACTGTAGTATTTTTTAATATGCAAAATATTTCCTGCCTGTATAGATCATTGTTCGTTTTGAACACTATGGAGAAATGCCAGCTGTTCGTTGTTTAAGTCATATATATCATCCAAATATTGAAGATTATGACATTGGTGGAGGTGTTTGTTTAAATCTATTTCATAATTGGAATATGTAAGTTTAATTCTTTTAAATTTTTATCCTAATAAGTATAAATTTGTATAACGGTATTATTGTAACTGATGCAGCTTATGGTTTAGTCAGTTTTCTTGTTTGGTGGTGTCTCTTTGCTAATACTAATGGACAAGGATAGTTATCTTACTATATCAATACTGTTTACAAGAATGGAAAAATGCTTTCTCAGAAACTTCATACATTTAATCCCGTATATGAATTTGAATAGAGCAAGAACAACAGTGGTTTGTACAGAATAAGATGGTACCATCCTTTATTTTGTTGGCTTCTCATCAGCTGCGTACGGCTTAAATAAATTATTAAGTTTATGTACAGTAAAGTTTTGACATACTTGCGAATTTCGCTTGATGTCAGTTGACAGGAGGTTCTGGACTTAGTGAACAGTGCTCAGAAAAATACACTTATACAGTTTTCACACAAGGAGTTCAAGTTTAAACAAAGTAAGTTTATGCATTTAGTGATTAAGGAGTTACGTAATAAAGACGAGGGGTTTGTAAGATAATGAGTAACTAATAAATTGGGTAACAATGTACTGGAATCAACTCAAACCATGGAAACAAGAGACAAGCAGAATTGTACTATATCAAAGGGGATTTGGGTTGAAAACAGAGATTGCGCAATCAAATGGAAGAGACAGAGTAAGGACATTCAGCTATCAGAGCTAGGGAAGACTGATAACTGCTTCTTTCTGAACACATAAATCAGATTTCAAGTGTTTTGTTCTTCCTGCATTCAAATACCTTTTAATAGTCCTTATGGTAACTTGAGTGACTGATTGTGCCATACAGGAAGTGGAGAACAACGGAGTCATTCTTCTAGTCTTTTGAAATTTCTGTAGATCTGGGATTGATTTTCTCGGGTGAGACTGCTGGTTCGACCTCCAGCCTTTCCTATTTTCCCGGGCTTAGAACCAGCTAGCTCTATGTTCCACTCCAAAGACAAAGGGATATTAATAACGATAGATTTGCACCTTTGTTGTCTGTTACTTTCAAACGAATCATTAGTAAGCGTTAGTATACTTGGCAACGATGGATCACGGTTAAGCGTAAAGTAAGTCGAATTACTTAAAAGAAAAACTGTTAAGCCTATAGTCATATGTGGCTTAATTGTTCAACTGGTAACACCCATATTACACATTTTGCTGTGTAGAAGTACTAACATTTAATAACAAATTTAAATTTTGAAAAAAAGGAGATTTATTTCAAAAATGAGAAATGTTAATCAACTGAAACATGTAATAAAATCGATAAATACAAGTAAGTCAGTTGTTTCACTTAAAAATCAAAACAGACATACAAACTAATGACATTTACCGAATCTAATGTAGTGTTCTACGTTGAATTCTATTAAAAACTCAAACTAGGCGCTAAAATATTTGAAATAAAATATGCTGTAGAGACAGGTATATTCAGGATTTAGTATTTCTTACCTGTAAGTATGGAATTTTTTAAGTACACTTTATATTTGTCAATTGAATTAGAAGCATGAACTTTGAAAATGACATCATAGTAGCTAACCACACACACACACACAAAAAATCACCACAAAAATGGAAAAAAGAAACCCGACATTTCCATCCATGCATATCATTTATTTGAAAGATAAGTAAGGTTGTATTGAGTCAAACACTCTTATGAATAATTTAGTCCAACAGTTGATAATGTCAATTTTCTAGTCTTATTTTTAGTAGGCATAATATCTACAGTCTAGATCTCTTAGAAAGGCTAATATTCAAGACCTCTCAAACACAACTGGTAGATTCTAGAAACATCAAATGACATTACCTGTAAAAAGCGAACAAATATGCTGCTTTTTCGGTTGGTATTCAGCGTTATTTATCTTTCTACAGATCATATTTGTAAGTCTTTTTGTTTTTTGTCTTTGTTTAGAAAAGCATATCGAAATAGTTTTCACTCTGTTAAGTAAGACTTTAAGTATTAGGAAAGGAATTTACACGAAAAATCGCCTAATTAGAAATTCAACTTTTCTGATAATTAATGTATTTTGTAACTGTAAAGAAAAAACTTGAACAGAAAAACCTTTGTCTTAGCACGATTTGCGCCAACACCTTTGAATTAGAGTGGAAGTTTCATTTAAAAACTCACTATGTACTTACGAAAAAAATCAGTCAAGATTGTCTGTCTTGTAGTGTGACCATATATATATATATATATATATATAACTAATACGGAGTTAGATATTTATTTATTTCACCTTATATAAGCTCATTCTTAAACTGAAAGCAATTATATCACGTTTAAATAAATTACATTGATTTTTTCTGCTACACGATCAATAAAAATATAGACGATTTATATACATATATATATATGCATATAATGTAGTCAGGAAGAAATCGAGTCGTGACTTTATCGAGCGGAAAATAACTCATCTTCAAGCTTAATAATATAGCTTTAGGCTTTGTTTAAATCATGCATCTGATTACTCTAGGCCAAATAGAAGAAAAAAATTAGGATGATACGAGTTCAGAAGGCTTATCTTTCTAAGGATTATTAAATGAACCGGAAGATGTCCGACTCAGGAGAGTATTTCTGATCTATAAACAAAACGAAAATGTTTTTATGTCCTTAATTGATCTGTCTGAAGATAATATAGTTAGGGCGGAGGTTGTAAGTAAATAAAATATTACAAATAACTCTTTCATATCTCTTATCTCCTTTTTTATTAGTGAGATGGGTTTAAAAGCCATCATTGATGGTTTATTATTTCTATTCTCCGAACCAAATGAAGAGGATCCAATCAATGAACGGTTTATTATTCCGCCTGGATATACATTCGAAGACGCAGTCATCGAATCATTGCAAGGCGGTAGCTACCTTCATTATTCAGGTCCACCAAATAGACCATGGTGTAAATGGTATGAGGAACAGATGAAAAATAAACGAAAGCCGATCAATATTCCAATGGAAACAAATAAAATGTGTGAAAATATAAAAGAAAATATTGATGATCATTATGAGCACAACCATCATCATCAACATCAGCAGCAACAGCATTATCCTGGTAAACTTGGATTCTTGAACAATCAGGATGAATACGATTCAACATCAGATAAACAAGTATAAATACAAAATATTGATTTGTTTTGATCAGTTTCAGTTTTTGTTGAGCAATTTTCACTACTTTTTTCATATTATTATCAGATTAAGCAGACTTTAAAAGAACTATTCATAGTTTTGAAACACTTATTTATTTAATATATGAAAAAAGTAAATTCACAAAGTTTACAAAATACTAACACCAAAAATAATTCTATTATACTTTAGTTTAATTTTGGTTCAATCAATATGGATGTTGGTTGATGTCGGCTTTTGTTTTACAGCATTGTTTATACTGAGGAATTTTAAACTTTCTTTTTAATTGAATTTTAGAAAACTGAGATAATTTTTTGTATGTGATTTTTTTTAATGTGATAGCTATTACTCCTGTTATCAAATGTTAGAAAATGCAATAAATAGTTCACTTTGAATTAGGGATATCACGGAGCCAGAATTTATTCAAAATCACCGCCATTAGATAGTTGGAGGCAATTGGCCACAGGAAGCCTTGCTCGACCTAGGTTTCGTGCTAGTTGGCACTCACTAGTCAGCAAGGCGTATCTGCAACCTTGAAGGAACTCATGTCCCTTCTGAGATTCAAACCCGCCACATTGCAAACCTGACTGATAGAATTCAGTCTGCACCAAAGAAAGGACTAGACACGTCGCACTAGTTACTAGTGTCCAATCAAAATCACTGCCATTAATTAATAAAGGCTAAATAATATCGATCCGGTCTGTGGAATACAGAATTGTTTGTTTTTACAGGCAGAAAATTACTGACTACAGTGGTTAGGACACTCGCCGACCATGCACATGGTCCGGGGTTCGATCCCCGACCGACGCACTCCTTTACCTCGTCAAACCAGTAATAAAAAAGTCAGTAAAGAGGAAAGGTTGGGCATGAGGCTAGCAACCTCATCCTGTAAAAATAAACATTGCTACAGAAACTTCAAGCCTCTAGCTTGAAGCCCTATGTTCCACTGGGAACGTGAAGGAAAAAAACAGGTTTTAAGAAGTCTACTTTTTTTGACAAATCAGCATCTTTTGTAAGCTTGACAGTGAGTCATATGTATTATGTAATGGGTGCAATATGTATATGAAATGCTGTTCGAACTAGTGACTCACAGCTACACCTACCGAAAAGCCACAGTACCTCAGCTACCAGTAGTAGTAATAGTAAAATTAACAGTAGAGATAAAAACACAACCGTTTAACTGAAAAGAGTGAAATTGTCAAAATTCATGTCTCCTAATCACTTTTTGCTTATATTTCATTATCACAATAGATACAATTAATTTGATTATTTTGATTTATTGATTTTATCTTGATTTACTAAAACATAGATGTGATAATTATCGTTCTTTATCCTCTTCCTAAAGCATACTGTAAAACGTATTTTTATAAATCATTGATTAAGGTCAAACGAGATCATTTTAAAATGTTTAGCCATTTAAGAAATAGGGAGATTCTATTTATTTGTGCTTTCACAGTAATAATAATATTTGGTTTATCAGTATATAAGTAGACACTGACATGTTATAAACAATTGCTGTTGACATTCAGTAGACAATTACTGAATATGTTTCCGCATAACTGAACAGGGTGTATTCTTTCTGTTTTTCCATTTTAATTAACTGTACAGAATTATTTATAGATAAAACGAATAAGCCTTTTCAAGTATTGGTTGGTAGAGATTTTGTTTGGTTGGTTAAAGGATTTCATCAAGAGCTGAAATCGGTTAGAGAACCCTTGAAAAACCAACGGAGAGTACTGGGCAGCCAGCTGTGTCGTCAGCCTAGTTTGAGACTCTTCATCAATACGCGCTCACACCGTGGGGTTCGAACCCAAGACCTTCTGGTTATAAGGCAACCGAGCTCGTATACCATTAAGCCACTAGAACTCGATGCAATGACCAGCCCATGAATTCCAACTTCTGCCAATTCATGACATAGCGTGACCATTTAGCAATGTCTTCTCCAACCGATGTCAGCTCATGATGAAATCCTCCAACCAGTCATATGAATTCCCTAAAAAAACCAATATTTGAAAATTGATCTGATGCTCACTAGTGACTTGCCCTATTCAGGCAGTTATCTAGGGTTCTAGTGGGGAGCCGTGACCTGTAGGGTACAGCAGTTGGAAGGCGAGGACAGTTACTCGTCGAAGAAGACATTGAGAAGTGGTCACGCTATGTCATGAATTGGAAGAAGTTAGAATTCATGGGTTCGTCATTGGATCGGGTCCCAGTGGCTTAATGGTTTGCGAGCTCTCCTTGTAACCAGAAGGTGCTGGGTTCGAACCCCGCGGTGTGGGTGAGTACTGATGAAGATTCCAGTACTCCCTGCAAGTTTTCCAATGGTTCTCTAAGTGACGTCAGCTCACCATGAAATCCTCCAACCGAATAAACCTTTGTCGAGTAATTGTCAAATCGGAATGTAAAAATCTATTTTATTCTTTCGTGTGTGTGTGTTTATTTCTAATCACTGTAGTGTTATGCATGCATGGTTGACATTCTAATATACTAATTACTTCAGGAGTTTACACACGAATACAAACGAAAATAATAACGGACACTGAAAACAGTTTAACGAGATCCTTTTTAAATATGATCTATGAATAGACTGATCTTTTTTTAGGCTAACAAGAAACGTTACTTTGATCTCTAGTCTAATTTCTTTTAAATCGTTTTGCAAAATTGAATGAGGATTCAACAGTCAGTTGATGAGGCAATTAATGAGACCACACCGACTACTTTATTACTTTTCTTTATTTCGATAATCAGATTTCCTTTCTTCTTTAGTTGTAAAATTATTTCTTAGAAATGTAATTTTTCTAATGTCACGGGTAATAATAACACACATTCACTAATGCCTAGGCATATACAAAAAGCAAGTTCAGCCTAGAATCAAACGACTATTACAAATTCCACGGTGTTAGTTTATAATTTTAACCACAAAAATGAGATGGGCATTTCAGTCAATCAACCAGACTAAACAAATACAAATATACAGAAACGCTTAATGGCTGTAGTAGTAGTGTGGTGGGTGCTACTTATAATTAGATATAAGTAGTATATCAGGAAACGAGTTCAGAAAAGTAACACTATTTTTCCGACACTGGAGAAAGCAATAGAAGAACAGAGCTGTAAGAAGATCGTTAGAAACACTGTGCAGAACTCAGCAAGCTATCGAATGTGGTGATATACAACCAATATTCATATGATGTGCAAATAAAGCATTGTTATTGAGTATCAAATTTATGTACAACCAAATACAGGAACTCAACGATACCATACTTGGCCCGTGTTCTAAGCCACAGAGACAATGTTAAGCGTGAAACCTATGACTTGCTTTGTTATTAACAACATAATTTTAGGCTCTTTTATTTCTCTTATTTTGTATTCTATAGTGAACTCCTTCTCAAACATACTTAGCTACCTTAATTATTAACATTGGCTTCCATTTTTGTACTTTACTGTATTCCTTCTATTGTGTATCCACTGGTTCCGACTCTATTAGCACTATGAGTATTACAAAATTGTCCTGTCATTAACCATCATGTAATTATTAGTTTTGTGGTTGTTTTTTCTTATTTTCTATACTTTTCGGCAGTATTAAACTGACAATCATTGGTAGTGAAGCCATAGTCACCACCTTAAAAAATTTTGTATTATTCAGGATTACTCACACTACCACTACAAACACTGCATTAGACCTGACAATAAAAAACAAAACAACAACCCTGAAATGTTATTTTATGATTGTTTAGAGTTGTTTCAACCAAATAAACTGACCATCTTGGCGATGAACATTCTTAAATATCATTTCATAACTTCTTGTATGATTATAGCTTTACTGTCATCATGCATAATCATATCATAGCTTCCACTAACCAATACTGAGTTATTATTATATGATGTTTATTTTCCTTTCTGCTTCTTGGCACTTTTTCGCAGTTATAATTATTTTGTGTTTTTTTTTGCTGTTGGTGTCTTTAGATTTATTTTTTTGTTTGTTTAATACTCCTTTTAATGTTTTGATAAGATTAGATGCAAATATGGTAGATATGTGCTGAAAATTCCACACTGTGCCACTAGTACTGTTTCTGGAATAAAGCAAATTATTATTATTATGTACCTACAACGAGTTTGTCCTGACAGACATTCCTTCGGCCGTCATCAGTCTTTTCTTGCTTACAATAGTAGTAAAAAAGTTAAACATTTGTGATTGAAAAATTCATAACGGAAATGTGCACTACTCATTTCCTAACAGTTAGCCAACTTCAGGGTGAGAAAAAAAATCAAAATTTTTTTGCGGATAAACAATAAATCAGTGTTAAGTTTCACTTCATTTTACTGAAATACGAAGCTACTCATAAACAAAAAACTGGTTGTTATGATCGTTAACTATAATATTGATCATTGAAAATTAGTGACTCTGAAAATTTTGCTTAAAAAACAATTGGAAAGAGTAAATCAAATGAAATTAAATTGAATTCTGTAAGTCAGGGTGTATTTATTCGTCAATAAAATTTATGTTTCTTAGTGGATTACGGAAAAAATGTCATCTTAAAAACACTATGGAAATTTGTAGATCGATTAACTCTAATATCTGCGGAAAGTATTTCATGGTAACACTTCGAAGATTAGGGTGAAGCAAAACCACATGTTACAAAATAAAAAGTAAACTAAACTCCATACATTACTTCTGAACAAATATACTTGGTAAATAAGGGAAATATCGAACATCAGCTTTCTGCGGTGTCTTTATTAATCTTGTTCAAGACTTGTCTGTCACACTGGCCGGCTTGAAATGTATAAAATATAGCAAAATCCATAAAATGCAAGAAAATAAATAATGCCTACAAGAAATTATAATGAGTAGGCGGCTAAGTTGACCACCTTGTGAAAAAATGAGAACGGTGAATTCCATTATCCTATTTCTATTCCTATTTTTTCATTGGCCGGTAGACGTATAGATATTGATAAATATATATACCTTATTATGTATTATTATATTG